ATATTTCATTACAATCACCAGGGGGACTTTACAAAGACCAATTAAAACATAATCTCTGAGAGTGAGATCTTGACATTAGTACTTTTTTTTTTTTTGAGATGGAGTTTTGCTCTTGTTACCCAGGCTGGAGTGCAATGGTGCGATCTTGGCTCACCGCAACCTCCGCCTCCTGGGTTCAGGCAATTCTCCTGTCTCAGCCTCCTGAGTAGCTGGGATTACAGACATGCGCCACGATGCCCAGCTAATTTTTTTTTTTTTTTGTATTTTTAGTAGAGACGGGGTTTCACCATGTTGACCAGGATGGTCTCGATCTCTTGACCTTGTGATCCACCCGCCTCGGCCTCCCAAAGTGCTGGGATTACAGGCTTGAGCCACTGCGCCCGGCCGTGACATCAGTATTTTTAAAAAGCTTTACAGGTGGTTCCAAAGTTCAGCCCAGGCTGAGAATCACTAGATGACTTCAATGCTCTTAAACAAGTAGCTTAGCTTCTCTCAGCATCAGTTTCATCTATAAGAGGAGCTGGAATCCATGACCTTTATAGTCTCTTCAATTCCTAAAATTGTGTGACAGTAGGCTCATTATAAAGTATTTGGAAAAATGAGTCTAATGGACTTCTTAACCTGTTAAGTAGAGAGGCATAGGAGTGAAAAAAAAAAAAAAAGGCAGAGATGACTTTCCCATGTGCCTTAATATAACTATTTTCATTATTTTAAAGGCACAAGAACCAAGGAGAAAAATTCAAATTCCTTCATTTTCCCAGGATACTTCTTGAAAATTATCTAAGTTGACAGTTCCCTGAGTTTAACTGAAAAACTAACAAAGGTATACAAATAAAGATTTCTTTTGTACAATTAAAAAGTGATGGTGTGTACTTCAAAGATAAAAGTTTATTTAGCTTCAAATATGTTCACATACAATTTCACGGAATCCCCAAAACTCTTGAGACCAAAGGAACTGTCCCACTCAATTTTATAAATGAGGAAACCGAAATAAAGAGGTTACCATCTCTTATGACTCCAAGCAAGCAGGGTAGTTTGCAAATACCATATAAATCATCCTTGCTACACTAATATTCCTGAAATGGGTTAGTAGCCTAATTGCTACTCTGATGTTTCCTCACGTAGAAATCCATCACAAAAATCTCAATCCACTATTTTCTACTGTTCCCCATTTCAAAGGTAAAACCAACACAAGTAAAGTCTTTTTAAAGCCAAACATGAGACTTGCAAAGAAAAGTAAAACAGTGTCAGTCTTCTCAGTGGTTTGTTGTTGTTAGTTTTTTTGGCACATATTTTTGCAGGAAACATTAATATTTATAATAAATTTATTATATTTAAATGAACATTAATAAAGTTTGTTTTAATTTATAATATGATAAACATTAATAAATATAAGTACATTGGGCCAGGCGCAGTGGCTCACGCCTGTAATCCCAGCACTTTAGGAGGCTGAGGTGGGAGGAAAACCTGAGGCCAGGAGTTCGAAACCAGCCTGGCCAACATGGTGAAACCCTGTCTCTACTACAAATGCTAAAAAACTAGCCGAGCATGGTGGTACACTCCTGTTATCCCAGCTACTTGGGAAGGCCAAGGCACATGAATCATTTGAACCTTGGAAGCAAAGGCTGCAGTGAGCCAAGATCACGCCACTGCACTCCAGCCTGGGTGACAGAGTGAGAATCTATCCTAAAAAATAAATTAAATAAATTTAAGCACATAACAAAAGTTATTTTGGAGCACTGAATAACTTATTTAAATGTAAACAAGTCTTGAAGCCAAATCATTTGAGCACTGCTATCCTACATGCTAAAAAAGACTTTCCAGGTCAACCAAGTGATGGCAGAGCATGAGTGGTACACTCAGGGGTGAATGGTAAACTTCCTTTCAAACTTTTCTGTTTACAGAGGGACAAAAGTATACAATACTTGCAAGTGTGATTATTTGGTGAAAACTACAAATAAATTACAGACCAAGTGTATCTCTATGGGCGAACTCAGTTCTCAAAACAATACATAGTGGTTTGGCATTGAGTGGGTGCTTCATTTTTCTGTTGATGAATAAATGAACAGAGCATAGACATATGTGAAGAAAAAAGACATATGAAGCAACGAGTAAAAGGAAATAAGCAGAAATATCTCATTCTTGACAGGTTAGAGTGAGGTAAAAACATTTCGGATTTCAAAATGCCTAAATAATGGACTCTCTAGCTTTATGTATCAAAAATGAGGGAGGAGAGAAGGAAAAAAGCCCCATAAATTAAGAAAACCTGAACCAAAAAAGGACCTTTAATCATTAACTACTAAATAACTTTTGTTTCAAAGAAATCATAACTGATTAAACAATATTAAGGGTGGGCACGGTGGCTTACACCTATAATCCCAGCACTTTGGGAGGCCAAGGCAGATGGATCATTTGAGGTTAGGAGTTTGAAACCAGCCTGGCCAACATGTCAAAACTCTGTCTCTACTAAAAATACTAAAATTAGCTGAGCATGGTGGCACATGCCTGTAATCCCAGCTACTTGGGAGGCTGTGGCAGGAGAATTGCTTGAACCCGGGAGGCGGAGGTTGCAGTGAGCCAAGATCATGTCATTACACTTCCGCCTGGGTGACAAGAGCAACACTCCACCTCAAAAACTAAAAAGCAAAACAAAAACCACCCAACACAGAATATTAAAAACAGTGGGAACTCCAAAATACCTGTATGATTTGGCTAAAGAAAGAATCATAGACTAAATACTAAAAATTTTTATTCAACAAAAGAAGAAAATTAACAGGGTAAACATACAACTCAAACAGGAAAAATGGACAAATAATAAAAAGAAAAAAAATAACAAAGAGAAAAGGCAGCTGGGTGCAGTGGCTCATGTCTGTAACCCCAGCACTTTGGAAGGCCGAAGTGGGCAGATCATTTGAGGCCAGGAGTTCAAGCCCAACCTGGCCAACATGGTGAAACTCCCGTCTCTACTAAAAATACGAAACTTAGCTGGGCACAGTGGCACACGTCTGTAATCCCAGCTACTTGGGAGGCGGAGGCTGCAGTGAGCCAAGATCACGCCACTGCACTCCAGCCTAAGTGACAGAGTGAGACTGTCTCAAGAAAAAAAATAAAAAAGAGAAAAGGCACAAATTTTTACACTAATAAAAAAATTGGACAAAGGACAGACAATTCACAATTACACAATCATAACACAGAAAAGCTTAACCTCATTAGTAACCAAACATAATTTTTTTTTTTTTTTTTTTGAGACGGAGTCTTGCTCTGTCACCAGGCTGGAGCACAGTGACGCAGTCTCAGCTCACTGCAACCTCCGTCTCCCGAGTTCAAGTGATTCTTCCACCTCAGCCTTCCAAATAGCTGGGACTACAGGCGGGTGCCAAATGCCCGGCTAATTTTTATATTTTTAGTAGAGATGGGGGTTTTACCATGTCGGCCAGGATAGTCTCCATCTCTTGACCTCCTGTGATCCACCCGCCTCCACCTCCCAAAGTGCTGGGATTACAGACGTGAGCCACTGCACCCGGCCCAAACATAAACTTTGATGCCTCATGTTATTAATCCAATAAACTTTCACACTGGAAAGATTGTTTTGAGGAAGTCTTGTCATTAAAAGTGAAGAGACACATTCTCAGAATAAGAAAGTATCAAATGACTAAAATTTTTGAGGGCAATATGCCAAGACGCTTCAACATTTTTAAGGTGGTGGGGGAGGTGAAGGGATTTGACCCAACAGTATCACTTCAAAGAAAATAACTGAACCAGACTTTAGAACCAGGTTCGCTGACCTGTCTAAAATTCTGGCGTTGCTCCTTTACCTTGAACACAACAATAATTGTTACTTAAAATCTATTTAACTCATCTATCTAAACTCATGGAACACAGGCCAAATTTTGTCATCCAAAAACCACTCCATCTTTAAAATTATAAGTGAACAGTCTCCTGTTCCTACCAGCTCTTAGCAATTGTTCACTACACTTGTTCTTGAGCCTCCTTAAGGGGGCTCTTGGTCCCTAAAGTCTCTACTTTCATTTCCATCTTCACTATCAGCTCTATTTTGCTTACACAACACTGTCATTGCTCTTATCACCTTCTTTGTAATATCAAAGACTTCCTTGTCTTTCTGCTGCTCCTGACAGGCAAAATTCTGTATTTGGACCAACACCATTTATTTTGATCAGTACTTAACCCCTAAAATTTACTCCAACCACTCAGTGGTGTCTCATTCTCCTAACCTTACTTAGCTAACAAATCTCAACTTTTACCTACGAGACTGCCTATCTACATTTACACCACATTTTCTAAATGCTAGCGGAGAAAAGGATACACTAAATCCTCTGTTCACCTGTTTAGCTCTCTTCTCCATCCTCCAAAAGGATATTTCAAATTTGCATTCTAAATCTGATTCCCAGAACCCTCTCCCACTCTGTACAGGTGACCACTTTGTACCTTATTAAAACAGAAGACAGAGGAACTTATTTTCAACTTTCTGCTTAACTTTGTTGCATCCAGACCCACCTACACTCCTTTTCACCTATTAAATAATAGTAGTATCCCTTTCTTTCAAACCTAATTCTTTCCACCTGTCCTCTGGTTCTCCTCCAAGTATTTTTCAGTATCTTACTAAATTCATTGTATTTCCTATCTCCCCCAGCCTTTTCAGCCTGTCAGTTTCACTTTCATTCACATTTAGACCTAACTCTTTATCATCTTAAAAACAAACACTTAACAACCTTGTCTCCTCCTTGACTCTCTCCCCTTAATCTAATTCTTCAAAAATGCAAATACACACATTGTCTTCACTTAATCATAATCCCAAACCGACTACTCAAAAGAAAGCAATACTGTGCTAAGAAACAAAAACATGAAATTTGTTCTCATTTTGCTTATTTTCTTTGGTAGTGCTCCCCCAACCCTGTGGCCATTCCATTAACACTGCTCTTTAGCAACATTGCTGAATTCTGCAACATCATACAACACTTCTTTAACTTTTTTTTTTCCACTCTCCATAGAGATTGTCAAAAATTGCCAATGCTGACTATATTTCAAGTCGTCATGGCGGGGCACTGGGAAAAGTTTTCAATTAGCAATAATCACGCCTCAGATAAACCTCATTGGTGATGATACTGCCACTGCGCAAAACTCATAAGACACTTCTTAATCCTCGCCTATCTTATTCTTGCCATGTGCAACAGCACTGAGCTGTCCCTTCTTTACATACCACCAACCCTTGGCTTCCATGATGCCGTACTTTTGGTTTTCCTATCTCTCTGTTCACTGCTTCACAAAATCCTCTTCCCTGGCCAGCCTTTAAGTATTATTTAGATTTCCAGGAGAATCCACTGTGTCTACTTCTAGTTTTAATAACCATGCAGATGTCATCTGTATTTCTAGCCCAGGTCTCTCTACTCAACCTTCATTTATGCACACTTAACTCTCTACTGAATACCTTCACTGGATGTCCTAGAGGCATTTAAACCACAATGTATTTGTGGAACAACTGTGTCTAAATTACTTTGTCTAAATCACCCCTAACACAACCAAATTGAGCATACTTTAAAATAGATTAGCAAGAAAGACTGCCTTCTTTCTGGATGCTTCAATGGCAGAGATAGGAACTTAGCACAAGGTTTCTCTTGGAAAACGTGGCCCCCAATAGATGCAATTAGAACTCCTCCAACTGTGCTGAACCCCACGCCAATGCTCCCATTCCAGTAAGCCATCTCAAGGGTGAATATAAACCTGAGCACCATAGTCTCAGTATATAAGTGGGGCTAGAACTTCCATTGTGCTGCTTATTCCCTCCTATATAAATAATGGTGGTTTATCATCAATTCCACTAGAGACAATGGCATGGTTAACATTCAAGAAATCAGACTTTTTTTCTAGCTACTTAAATCTCTCTTACAAAATTATGTATTTAAAAATAAAAATGGGGCCGGGCGCGGTGGCTCACGCCTATGATCCCAGCACTTTGGGAGGCTGAGGCGAGTGGATCACGAGGTCAAGAGATCGAGACCATCTTGGTCAGCAAGGTGAAACCCCGTCTCTACTAAAAACACAAAAATTAGCCGGGCATGGTGGTGCACGCCTGTAGTCCCAGATACTCGGGAGGCTGAGGCAGGAGAATTGCTTGAACCCAGGAGGCGGAGGTTGCGGTGAGCCGAGATCGCACCACTGCACTCCAGCCTGGGTAACAAGAGCGAAACTCCGTCTCAAAAAAAAAAATAAATAAATAAATAGCCGGGCGCGGTGGCTCAAGCCTGTAATCCCAGCACTTTGGGAGGCCGAGGCGGGTGGATCACGAGGTCGAGAGATCGAGACCATCCTGGTCAACATGGTGAAACCCCGTCTCTACTGAAAATACAAAAAATTAGCTGGGCATGGTGGCGCGTGCCTGTAATCCCAGCTACTCAGGAGGCTGAGGCAGGAGAATTGCCTGAACCCAGGAGGCGGAGGATGCGGTGAGCCGAGATCGCGCCATTGCACTCCAGCCTGGGTAACGAGCGAAACTCCGTCTCAATAAATAAATAAATAAAATAAAAAAAAATAAAAAAAAATAAAAATGTACTCAATGTAATATTAAACATTATGGGCATGGTTTTTCTTTTTTCCTCCTAAGGAAAACAATCATAATACTGTATTTAAAACTGCCACCACATAGCTAAACTTACCGTCTAATTACTTCCTAATGTGAGCACTACCATGCATCTCTGATGCACTGGCACTATTCTAGTTCAGGCCAACAACCATTAAAAGTGGTCATTTCTCCTGTAATCCCAACAGTTCAAGGTCAGCCTGGTCAACATAGTGAGCCACCATCTCAAAAAAAATGTTTAATTAGATGGGTGCCCACTTGTAGTCCCAGTTACCTTGGGAGGCTGAGGGGAAAGGACCGACTGAGCCCAGGAGTTCAAGGTTAGAGTGAGCTATAACCCTGTCAGTGTACTCCAGCCTGAGCAACAGAGCAAGACCCTGCCTCTTAACATAAAGTAGTTTTCTTTCAACAAATTTAGGTCAAGCACGAGACATCAAAATAGTACCTTGCAAATCATATTCCTATGATAGTATAATGGGCTGCCATGTCAATCTTCTTCCACAGCACTTTGCATAAGATTTCTAGGCTACTGCTTGTTAATTAGGTCAGCAATTACATATTTCATGTAACAGTTTGCTCAACCTTACAGTATTATTTTTCCTTATTTTTGTAACTATGTTATTTCTTATCACTGTTGTAACTACATACAGTATAAAGAATTGTGTAAAGTTTTAATGGGTAGCCCTGAAATATAAAATCTGAATAAAAGCTAATGTATGCTATGTACTTGCCATATGCCAGCCAGTGTACTAAGGGCCTCACAATAATTAACTCTTTTAATCTGTATGACACCTCTATAAGGTCATAGTAGCCAGCATCCAAGACAGCCCTCAATGACGCCCATCTCCTGGTATTCAAGCCTTTGTACATACCCTTTGCATACTTAATTATAGCTAGTCCACAAGAACAGTAAGATACTGCTGAAGTAAAAGTGTGTGACTTCTGAGGCTGGTTTATATATAAAAGCCATTGTTTCTATTTTGCTCTCTTGGATCACTCACACTGGGAGAAGCCAGCCACAATGTCATGAAGACACTAAGGAATCCTGGGGAGAGGCCCATATGGTGAGGAGTGGCGATTCAGTCAGGATGGGGAGACAAAGTTTAGTTACAAGAGAATATATACAACCCTGTTGGAAGGCCCAAGGGTTTTTACTATAATACTTAGCTGAAGGCAGCCTTTTCCCCTTAAATAAATTAAGAGTAGAAACAAAGGAATGTGGAGAATTTACCTAACTTGGGTATCCAAGTGGTTCTATAAACTAATCCTTACTCATTCCGGATGGCTCTCTTGGGGGGAGGTCAACCAGGGATATTACCCCACTAATGGTGTTTGCTTTAGGCTTCAGAACTTGGCCTTTAATCTATACCCTCTAGTGTTAACTCAACACCTTTGTCATTTAATGTGTGCTGGCCTTTAATCATTATCCCTAAGTGTGCTGACTTAGAGCCTCTGTTACTAAATCTATACTGAATAAAATGCCTGAAGGGGCAGCTAGTAGGGACCAGTGGCTGCTATCTCTTTACAGCACTCTCCTCCAGCACACTTGTTCCCTGTGTTCTGTGTGAGTGAATTTATTCATCCTCATTAAGTCAGGGCCTGCAGGACAAACCCCTGGCAGGTGGTGACCCCGACAGGGAGGTACTGAGGTCTCCGTCAAGAACCATCACCAAGTTGTTAGCCATTGATGAAGTCACTTTCAGTGGGAATCCTCCAGCCAGTCAAGCCTTTAATGCACAGAATGAAGCCCTTAATGCAACTTCATGAGACTCTGAAGAACCACCAAGCTAAAATATCCCTGAATTTCTGACTCATAGAAATTATCAAACAGAAAATGTTTACTTTTTTAATTAACTAAGGGGTAATTTGTCACACAGTAATAGGTTAACTGGTACACAGGTAGACACTATTATCCTCTTTTACTGATGGGGACACAAGGCAGATGAAACAGAAAGGTTAAACACATAGGCTCTGGAGGCAGAGTACCTAAATTTGAATCCTGGCTACTCATATGGTATTTGTACATAACAAATATTGTTAAAATTTGTGAGCACTGACCAGGCACTTTTTAAGGCAATCTGCTACACTTTGACCAAATAATTCCACATCTAGAAATCAATGCTAGAGATGCTCATGTAAGAACTTCAAAGACAAAGGTGCAAAGTATGTGCCCTACACTGCTGTTTGCAATACTGAAAATTGAAAGCAACCCTAAACATCCATCAAGGGGAAAGAGAAAAATGAATTAATGCACATACATTCATTAGAACACTACGCAATATAAATAATGAAATATCTGTATCTTTGAGGAAAACAGCTAGTTGCTAAGCAATTAATTTTTTAAAACAGCATTACTGTGTTCACTCATTATGTGTAAACATATTTTTTAAAAGGACTAGAGGGATATACAGTCTACAGTGGTTACTCAGACCAGAGGCAAAAGCCTTTTACATTTTACTATATATACTTTATTTACTATAACAAGCCTGAATTATCTGAGTAATTTAGGGAAAACTGGAGTTTCAAAGAGAAAAAAGAGATTTATTTCATTTAAAAGAAAAAGGTCTAAGGCAGTTCTAATACTACATGGCTTAGTTAACTAAAAAATAATAGCAACTAAATTTTGGCAATCAACAATCAGCAAAATAAAGGAGATTCCTAAAGCCAAATATCTTTACTAAGGGATTTATGTTTACACTGCAGGCAATGCTTTCCGTTTTTTGGTTCTTTGGTTGGCGTCCTTCCACTGCAGAAACTGGTATAGGCACCAGAGTTATTTCCTGAATTTCTGTCCCAAGGTAGGTTCCTGCTAATTCTACAAATACAAATTTGATTTAAAAAATGGCAGTTGACGTCAGTAAAAACAGGAAAAGTCTCCTCACTGGACCTAAGGAATAAAGTAATTTAGTACAAGAGATTTTTATAATTCAAACAATAACCAATAGTATAACATTAATTATGTGAGAAGAGGCAGACACTAAAAAAAGGCAATCCTCCAATTGGGGTTATAATCCAAAGGCTATTTATTATCTTAAATACATGATTTGAAATCCAAAACCCATTTTTCCCGCAGAAACTATGTAAAATGGTATTTAGGCTCTTAAGCCAACCTATATATGCCAATTTAATCTATTCTAAAATATATTCCTAACAGTATGATTCTAACAAGGCCAAAAGAAACATAAGAATTTGAATTCCCAAGACACCTGTAACTTTTAAAGTTTCTATATAGGCAAATAATGGATTGCTCCAGTGCACTAGCAAAAACAAGGTGCCTACCCAATTCAACCAGAAGTGTGTGGGGAATAATAGGTAAGAACAATTTTATCTACCTGTTTAAGGCTCTAGGATCTATTCATGTATTACCAGTCATTTGTAGCTGGTCTATCTCCTCTGCTGAAATAAGTTTACATAATGTTTAAGAGGTTTATAAAGTTGATTCAATTGTAAAATTAGCTTTCATGACACTACAAATGACATTTATTTATCTAAACTTATAGGGAACAAATGAAGTAGTGTGCTTCAGTAGAATTCACTGTGCCACAG